CCCGACGTTTTGAAGGCCAAACGAATTGCATTGTGCTAGATTCGTTTTCGTTTATAAATTGTTGATGGACTACAAAGAAATTTACGGTAGTGTCGATTTGACATCATCATGTGATACAAAAACTTCAGACAGTTTTTTTTTAAATTTCCTCTTTGTGTTTCTTACGGCTTGCCCTTTTAATCGGCAAAAAACCTAATCAAAAAATTATTCCCCGAAATTTCAGATTCATATCTCGACTCTTTAAGTATTTTCTCGGGTTTTTTTTTATTTTGGATTTTGGATTAAATGGGTAATTTTAATTTTTCACTAAAAAAAAAACTAGCTTGAAGGAAAATTAATTTTTTTTTCAATTTTAAAAAAGAACCTTTCAGTCAAACCATGACACTTGGAAATTATTCTTATGATTATTAGTAAGTTCTCAAGTTATCAGTTTCAATAGGTCTTAGTTTTAAAGTTAGAATTTTTAAAATAAAACATTTTAATTTCCCATTTAAATAATATGCAAAAAAAAAAAATTATTTGAATAGGCTTTTATTGATCGAGGAGGCTATAAGAAAGAAGTATTTTTTTTTGACACAATCTAGTATGTATACACATAATAATACATATTAATATAATATAATTGTAGGTATATAATATGTACCTATGTATTCAGGAAAAATTCATAGTTTGGCTAACTGAAATTATGGTTCATGCAAGGCACAATAAATTTCTAGTTAGAATAACTAAATAAATTGTTGGACCAACTAAATTTTTAGCAAAAGCAATTACTTATATGTTTAGTTGGCACAACTTTATATATTAATTAATTCCAATTAGAAATGTATTGTGTCCCTAAATTTACCTACCACAATTTTAGTGGGACCAACTATGTATTTTTTTCCATGTACGGGTCCTATCTTGTGCTGTGGAGTTCACACTTGCTTTAAAAAAAAAAAAACAATTGTGTATCGTTTAAATTTAACATAAACGAGTGTAGCGCAAAAACGACATAATAAACAAAACATGCGACGTTGATGATATTAATGATAAAATTAAATTATATGTCAAAAACGAAACAGAGGCGCAGAGGTTTTTGGTCGTAGCGTGCATTCTAATGTACACTCGACTCTTGCACGAAAAACGCCATTACAAACTTTTGGCGTCCGTCGCACGCTTTTGTATTATATTATCATATATATATATGGGAACATGTATATTATAATACTTGGCCGGGCGCTCAACTTTTCTCGCTCTACTGCCAACAAACCACCCCCCGCTTCGTTTTAGGCCCCGACCCGGCCACGAGCGCATAATTATTATTATTCTTATATACATTATTCATCGGCTAAAGTACCACTGTTGTTTGCGCTGTTTGGCAAGTGCGCCGACGCCTTTTAAACGCCCCCACGCTCCACGCCGGTTTAATTTATTAAAACGCCGGCAGATATCGCGGGGCCCGCGACGGCAACGACCGCCGTTTCCGTTCCCAGAGGGATAAGAGACTCGGTTCGCCCACCCCTTGCCCTCCCCTGGACACATGTGCAGGTTCGCGCGATAAGGGAAAGGTTTTAACGCTGACGAGCTGTGTGGTTTTACCCAAGGGCTCTTCGAAATTCAAGAATCTTCCTACGCACAAAGTTAAACGGCTCTCTCATGTCCGCCAACCGAGGGATTAACCCTCGAGGAGATAACAACCGAGGACGGGCAACAGCTGCGGCGATACGCCGCCATGGCCAATATAGTGTAAGGGGATAACCGCAACGACATGGCGGAAATTAAATATATATATATATATATATATATATATATATATATATAGGGAGCAAAACCCTTTTTTGACCGCTTGGCATTCATTGTGTATACCCACAAGCGATACCGCTATTGCATAAATAATAATAATTATCATAAATAGTAGCGAAAATTGCTTTTTGCGGCCTCGCGGTTTATGCGGTCACAGCTCGCGAAACCTCATTAAGTGTAACAATGGTCGGTATTATGAGCGGTTTTCCACAATAATTATACGCCTGCATATCTACTTACGAATTTCGATTATATATCAGTGTTCGATTCACGCGGGGGCTGACGTCTCTAAAGTCTAAACTTATGTACCTACTGTAATAAACTAAATTATTGTAGTATACAATTTTAAGTATACTATGTATGTTTGACGGAAATCAGGGGGGCTATGAATACTAAAAATCTTAAATTTAAAATTAGTCTATTTTAAGAATACCTGCATTTAGACATTTTTAATAGAACCTACAAATCAGGTTATTGCCTTCTATTTTATTTGTTGAAATCAGGCTTCAGTAATAGAATTATTTGTGTATAATGTATGGATGGACGGAAAGAATGTTCAAATTATAAACTGTGTCCGTGACAAAAATGATAAATATTTGTATTATATTACATATAAGTCATCCTGTAGGCGGAAAAATCCAGGTGTTTAGACAATAAAAAAAACAGCTGATGAATAAAAAAAAACTCTAACCCGCTGTAAACGCGGTGATGGAGCAATCGGGAGGTATTTTATATATTATTAGGTATTATTATAGGTATATATCATTGTAACCGACCGACCTAAATATCATGGAATTATAGTACACATAATAATATGTGGGATCGGGCCGGGATTATATATTATTATTATAGAGGGCTCCGGCTGCGCAAAATGTGTAACAATAATAACAGTATAGGCTGATTTACCCGTGGTGAGCTGCCCTGCATGAAATTACTTAAATATCATTATATATCTATATATAATATCAAGGTGGAAGGGCGGGGCGGGACTAAGTATTAGCGGCCATTAGCTGCATAGTCCACATGAGGTCTACCGCGCCACAGAGCGATTATAAGTTATAACTAAGGTCCGGATAAATATTCTCTTAAAACACCTAAAATATGATTCTAATATTCTCTAAAAAACCTACAAATATTCTCCATATATTCTCTTAAAAATTAGAACAATAAACAAAAATAATGAATTAAAATCAATATTTCCTTTATTGAATATAAAATAACAGTATATATTAAAAAAAAAAAAACAATATTCCTGGTATGATATATATATTTCCATGGTATGATGATTATGGTAGTAAATTAATATTTACTAAATATTCTTCTAAATTTAATTCTGACTTGAATTAAATTGAAGTACAATTTTAATTACTTACTACTTATTTAAATTTTATTATATGAGTTAATAATTATGTATTTCTCGATATTCTCTGGGCTCATGTTAGTTCTTCTATCGCTTAAAATGTGTTTGTAGAGGCTAAATGAACGTTCAACATCAACTGATGTTAAAGGAGCAAACTTCATATCAGCAACTACACTAGGGGTGAAATGTTTTGGGAGATTTTCATTGTTTCCAGATAAAATGTTTCCAACTTTTTCTAACATTTGGTAGCCTTTATTTTTTTCACATAATTGAGTCACTTTGGTTTTTATAATGTTACCCTTTTCACCAGGTTATTGGTCATTTTGTAAATTTTTGTTGTTCTTATCAGCATGAAAACGATGCAGTATTGCAGGTTAGCCACCATATTTGGTAAACAGCACGGCACGACGCGGCGACTTAATAGTACTATCACTGTGTGTATTTTTTTATGAAAATATTAATTATAATAATTTTAAAATAAAAATAAATTATTATGTTTTTCTCACAATTTGCAAAATATTCCAAAATATGCTAAATAACCTAAATATTCCCTAAACCATGAAATATTCTCAAATATGCAAAAAAAAACTTTTTCCTGTGAACTCTGTGATGAATGAATCGTCCACATTTTTTACCCTCATAAGACTGCATATACTCAGTAACAATATGTAAAAACATATAAATCCGGACTTAAGTTATAACACATTATTTTAACTCGAGAATTTTTTTTTCCTTATGTTTTTTTTTTATTCTTTAACGAAATAATATACTTAATAATATTTTACAATAACGCTGTCGCGGTGACTCATATACTTTTATAATTACTTTCAATTTAAATCATTCCACCCGCACGTTTATGAATCACACGATATTGCATAACATAGTATATTCAGTGTGTACCGGTTTTATAGATCCGACCATGCGAACCTTCTTCAAGGCGTTGCATAGAAGGTTAAGTACAAAATATAATACCCACGGCTTATTTTTCTCCCGTAGGACATGTGTATCCAGTTTATGTGGTGGCACTTGGACGGCAAAATAAAAAAAATAAAAAGCACTAAGCAGTAAAAATACTAGAAATGGAATTTTTTATTGCATTTTTTTTTTTATTATTATATTTTTTTTTAAACGACACGACGACGAATAATAATTTGCTATTAATGTTTTACCTATTTTGAATTTAGCGCAACCAAGACTTTATTTTTATATTACATAATAAAAATGTAGCAATACATTTTATTATTTGATGCTTCAAATAATTAATGTAATTAGAATTTCAAACTAAATTTTATTTAATCGTATTTTTTCACAGTAATAATGTTAAAATATTACTTTTTTCTTAGTTATTTTTTTTTATTTTCAATTTTATTCGAATTAAATAAAAGGATACGGGTATAATGTGTGTATAATTATTATATAGATGTTTATTAAAATTAAAAAACTATGTTTATTGTTTAATGTTTTTTTAAAAAATTGTATAAGTCTAAAGCTGAGCTGTTTTAGAGTTAAGTACATGCCAAAATGTAAATAAAGTCTTGATTTATTTTGTTTCTAATATTCTGAGATATTTTGATGTATAATGATAATTATAAACAAATATTCAAATTTAGGATGGATTATTTTTTTCTAAAAAAAAAAAATATTATATTTTCCTCTTTAAAAATTTAGTGTTTTATGTATACATATAATATATATGTATATATATAAATAGAACAGTATACATTATTGTTGACATATTAGCTATGACCTCTGTCCAGCATGAGTATAACAAATTATTATATCATTTACAGCAAGTGATCTTCAAGCTAATATATTATAAATAACACCTTTCGTTAATGAGTGTTTTTTTTATTTTTAGGTACTTCAAGATGGCCAATGAACCTGACACGCGTTCGACTAAAGAAATCTCTAGTGAAACCATTATGAGACCACCAGCCATGAAAATGAATAGAAAAAAACTGTTGTCTTTTTATTGATATATTTTTATAAATTATGTATACTTAAGCCTAAAGTATATTTGTAATCGTCGTCGAAACGATGACGGTGCGCAATTGTTTTTGAATTTAAAGGTCAAGTACGATCAAAATAATTAACACTTATTACCCGTTCAAAGTATAAATCAACTATTATAATATTACATATTTTTCGTTTTTTAATAAATATTTACTACTGTGTGTGTTAAATGGCTTGTGAGTTGTTGATATTATTATAAATACATATACTACCTATCTATATGCATTTACATATAAGTACATAATACTCCAAAAGAATATAATAATATTAGTAGTAACATGGTGTACATTGTACTTTTTTTTCTAGGTACCTTTTTATAGATTTTAAGATTTTTATTGGTTGTATATTATTTTTTATTTTTTTTTCATTTTACTGCCCGCATAAATCCTTTAACGATTTTTATACGATTTAATATTTGTTTTTGTTTACTTTTATTGTATTTTAAACGGACACCCGGTTTATTGGTTTTTAACAGTAGGTACTTGGTTTTTTTTTTATTGCAAACTCTCCCCAGAAGATACTCATTCATTCATGCTGTCAAAACAAACATTTGTATACGTTTTTCAGCTTTTATGTTTTATTATTATTGTTCAATATTAAGGTTGTTATATATGCAATTAAAATATAATATAATTTAACTATAACTGGGCAATACAGTAATGTAAATGCCGAAATAAAAAACACATCAACACGAAATTGAGATTTTATCCGTCATATAAATGATTTTAACGGTTTTTTTTTAGTTTACATAACAATTTAACGATTGTCGATGGTGGACGTCGTTTATGTTAGACGATAAAACCACACTTTGTGGTGTTTATGTAGTACATTTTCTTAATCGTGTAATAACTGTAAAATTGAATGTGTTATTTAATTACAACGTTTGCCATTTCAAGAAAAAACTAACTGTTATACCATTGAGAAAATAGCCTATAAATATAAATATATATATATATAGGTACAATATAATACATTTATATTTATGGTAATATATAAGATAAAAAATACATTTAACCTTCATAAAAATGTTTGTTTAATAAGTTATAGGTATATACAACGGATTACATGTGTTTATTGTTATACTTTTAGTAATTATTTGAATTTTTCCTCCAATCATTTTATCATAAGCACTATATATATAGTTTATAAGTACAAATTAAAGGTTCATACAAAATGTAAGCTCAGAAAATAGTAATATAAAAAAGAAAAAAAACTGCAAACATATTTGAATTAAAAATTGTTGTTTAAGTAGGTAATTTACCCATCGTTTAAATAATAGTTATAACTTTATTGTTAACATGGTAAATTTGTTGATATTTTAGACAAATTAATTTTATTAAAATAACAATTATATTTTTGAAATGTAATAAGTAGGTATTAAATTCTTATTTTAGGCGGTAAGTTCATTATAATTGAACAATATTTTTGTTTTATCGATGAAATAAGTTTAGTTTAAATTAATATACTATTGTCAACAATAGATAAATTCATAATATTTTTTTTACAAATTATATTCATTTGGTTAAGTGTTGCTTAGGCTCTTATACATACGATATAGTGTCTATATATTGTATCGGTTAGATTAGGTTACATTGAATAACAAGTAATATAATACTCGAGTAAAAATTAGGTATGATGCAATACCAACCATTCAAGTTTTTGAAATTGACAGCAAGTGTAAAGTTAACATATATAGGTATTATATTAACCAGATACCATGCGTATTATTATAGGTAAGTGAATGAACATGACTAGCCCATGTCAAATGCAAAATGTCTAATTTAAATATAGTTATTCGAATATCGAATTTATTTGAAAGTTTTCCCGCACTCAGTATTTGTAAATGAATTTTCAGATAGAATATTTTGATGATAATTTATACCCAACATTAAAATTCCGCATTACATCAACTATAACTAATGAAAGGGGGGGAGGGGGGTACGATAATCTTTAAGCTAGAGAATACGGGCATACAGCTATTAAAATCTATGTTTTATACTTTGTAGAATTTTTAAATATAATATCTTGTATTAAAAAATATGAAATATATTTTTTTTACATAAAAACTTCAAGAGCTGCCGTATAATTATTATTTATAATATACAAATCCGGTTTTTTTTTTGTTCCGTGTTTTAACTATTACAATATATATTATCGTTGTCATATATGTAAGTATTATGTGGTCCTTAAAAAACATTAAGATATTCTCCAACATAAATCATATTAGTTTTTAACCGAACTCATTCGAGTACATTTACCTTGGGCAATTTTAAGCAATTGTAAAGTATTGTAAAGTTAAAGGTATTGTAAAGTAAAAAAAAAAAACAATAGCTGTACTGAAGCGGGTTTCATCTCACACTGTGAAGGCACACATTAAGAAAAACGTTTTTAATAACAATTATTAACTAATTATTATATTACGATGAATTACGCTCATGTCTATTTTAAAACTAATTTTAATTCTAGTACATAAACCCGTTTTATTAAGAGCTTCGGTGTGGTCTACATTGACATGAGTTCTATATTATTATGTATATATATATTTTTTTATGTTTCCCAGTAAATCATATCGGGTCTGGTTAGGGCACTTGCTGACATCGCACATCTGTTCATTATAATATCTTGACTTACCGATTTAAATTTAGAATCGACTTTGTGAAAGGGTAGTGTTCGATCGCACCAGACCTCCTAGCACGAATGCATACACCTAGTATTATACCAACGTCTGGCAGTATAAAAACAATTCATTCAAGGGTAAAATATATGTACTCTTATGTAAGTATAAGAAATCAAACAGAACAAGAGGTTAATACCTAAACCGAGTTTTAGTCAAATGACACCAAAACGCTTTGCAACAACTATAATGTACTTCCAACTAATATGAAAATCTTAAGACGTCAGGAATATAACGATTTTGTTGGAATTTTATGACCTATTTGATTGTGGTCATGTATAATTAATTATATTAAATGAAAGATGCAGATATACCTACATATAACGAAGAAGACTCTGCAAAACGTGCAGTTAATATTATAATTGCCATTTACTGATAGTAGACGTCACAAGAAGGGTAATGATTATTTACATTAAGTCTTGCGGACTTTACTCAGATAATTTTATCTGGGACCAGTTGTCATGTATCAGATACTAAATAGTGTCAAATATATGTATAAATATATTATTTGGTTGCTTGCAAGCGAAGTTGAATAAATTAACAAATTAATTCGGATAAAATGTCTATTGAAAAAAAAACTATTAATATAACACAATGTGAGACATTTTGTAAGTAACCTTGACACGTGTTTGAAAAGGTTGCTATATAAAATTTTAATTAAAAAAAAAACTATCAGTAAGATACGAAGCTCACGTGTACTTATAGTTTCTTTGTTCTACTTCTTCTTTTTTTGTAACATAATAGTACCTACCTATTTTATGTTGGTTTGTAATATAGATTAAATACTTTCTTCTGTTTGAGGTTAGGTACTTACCTAAGTTTAGATCATTAGGGAAATTAGTCATATTTATTTGTCGGTAAGTAGCAAAAATTAGTAAAATTATATAAACGTAAAGCTAATAAACACCAACTAGTTCTTTGGCTTTACCTACGCTTTATAGGTGGAACATTTAGATCATTTTGTTTCTGGTCCCAATTAAGATTTTCAAAAATATTATTCCAAGATTACTGTCCGGGATGAGATATTTTAACAAATATTTGTTCTTTTTTATTCTTTTCTAACTACCACACCTTGCCTGTAATGAGCACAAATGGTGGGAAAATGTCATGCATCATGTAATCTTAGAAAACAAATATAATTATGCACATAATTATCTATAGTGTGTTAAAAGATACTTATTGTTATTAAATTACATTTATTTAGTAAAGTATGAAACAAGTCTAACTAAAATCTTATTACGTTTTTTTCCAAAATGTCATGCAAACAATTATCGCTAGAAATATTATAATAAATTGTAATAATAACAATATTTATAAACTTTGAACCACGGGAACGGTTGACGTAAGTAAATAATTGTTGCGTTTATTAGTTAAAACTATTAGTTTTTGAATGGGGCAATAATTATTTTTATAATTATGTTTTACAGTTGTAATATAAAATGCGCTTAAAGACCTTGTTGTTAGATGTTGTGCGTAAATAGGTGGTAATAAGAAATCAAAACCTTATAGTTTGTATAGCTAAATATTAGTTTTATTCTACGCATTTGCAAAAATATGCTGTTCTCTTATCAGAATGACAATATTAACGACGCGCACTTGTATATTGTAATGCCGGGTCCACACAGAGCGAATAATATTAAAACAAAACAAAAACACAATGTTTTTTGAAAATTTCCAAACAATTTTGTTTTTTTCAACAAAATGTTCTTTTTTTTCAGAACAAAACCGTGTCCCGTTCGTGGTAGGAAAATTATAGATGTTTTTGTTTTCATGAACACTATAGCTCGGTGTGGACACAAAATTGTGTTTAAATATTAATTGTTAAATGTAATTAAATATTTATGTGTTGAAAAATAAAAACAAGTTATATTAATAACTTGTTAATATTACACCAATGTCATCATCCCGTAAATCTTTTAAAAGTCCATTGATTCATATACAATTCTTTTTTGTAACGTTGGTCTTACCCAAAAACGTCTTTTATTTTAATTTTATTTATTTTGAACATTTAAATAAATATATCCAGCATCCAACATAAGTATATCTTCCTCAGCTTCGATATCCCTTTTCAGTTTCTACATTAATATTTTAATTATTTAAAAAATGTAATTACTAAAATAAAAACGAACGAACCAAGAACCGAAAAGATCGCACTTTGAAAGCAGACTAAACGACTGTGAATAAAAGTATAAAAAGCAAATTTTTAAAGCGATCTTTTCAGAATGGATAGATAAAAAAAACCCAACACAAACATAGTATTCAAATTTTTGTTCATGATTTGTTGAGGTTTTTTGTCAATTCAGTCTGGACAAATGTTTTTTTACAGTTTTGTTTTTTATAAACAGAAAAAAGTTGAGTTTTTGTTTAGTTTTTTTAAAACCCCTGTGTGAACCCGGCTTAAGTATAAAAGTATGGATTTTTTCCGTAACATTTCAAAATTGTACATATTTTACGGTGGCGCCATCTGCCGCACCGGAG